TTTGGGGGAGTCTCCCCGAATTGGATGGGGGGGGGGGGGGGGGGGGGGGAAGGAGAAAGGATCCCTCTTTTCTGGGTCCAAAACTACCTTTTCCACTTCGGGCAGAAAATTTTGCTCTTGGTTTTAAAAAAATAATAATAATTAAGATTATCCCAACTTCTTTCTGGAGATGCTGCTGCATTGCGTGAATTTTTAGGGAATCTCCCCAAGTCGGACGGGGGGGAGAAAATGACCCCCGTTTTCTGGGTCCTTTTCTGCTTCGGGCGGGCGATGTGAGCTGCTTTCGTTGGCCTTATCGTTGCCAGAGGTCAGCCGGCCAGACCCCGCGAGAGTTTTAGCCAAAAATGGGCTTTCAGGTGGCCAGGCCTGGGACTCTCGTCCGTTTCTCTTATCATTCAGATAAGCGCCTCGTTTGCAAGAGGAGGATTGCTAAGAACCTCGGACGGCTGACGTGCGAATAGGGACGCCTCCCCCCAGCTGCTGATAGGGGTTTGGCTCCAGCCCCACTCCCCCCCCACACTTTTGTGTGCTCTGGAGACAAACGAGGAATGCATGCCAAGGATTTTTTTCCCTGGCCTTTCCAGAACTGGAATTAGCAGCTGGTCCCCGCGGATTTTTCTCGCCGCGCGGCTCTCCGGAGCCGGGTTTAAAGACATGCTTCAAATTCCTCGCCGAACCCAAGAAAAACGTTCCCTGTTGCCGTAGCAGACGGGGAAAAACGGCGGTTATCCTTTCCCTCTGGATTCTCCACGGCAGAATCTCCCCCCCCACACACACAACTGGAAAGTTCTTCTGACGGGGAAAAACAGACCAAATTTCCCGCGAATTTCCCAAATCCATGTTTTTTTTTTTTAAGCGCTTCACTTCAACTTGCACTTTGTTTAGTGTACGGAGTTACAACGGTGCTGGAAAACTTGGCTTAGGACTATTATGTGGGCCGTGTTCCACACTTAGGACCATCGCCGCATCCCCACGATAGCGTGATTAAAATTCAGACGCTCGCCGATTGACTCGTATTTATGACAGGCTTATGGTGTGTTGGGGGTCCTGTGACCCCCCGCTTTGGCGACCTTCTGACGAGCAGAGTCCACGGGAGGGGGAAAACCGGATTCGCTTAACGACCACGTTGCTAGCTTAGGAACTGCAGTGATTCACTTAAAGACCACGTTACTCGCTTAAGAACCGCAGGGACTCGCCTAACGAAACTTTTCAAGGAAAGTCGTACAATTCCCTTTGAACAAATGTCTCGCTTAGCCGCAGGAATGTTGGGGCTCCATTGTGTTAGTGTGCGGAGGAGTGCAATTAACGTGGTTGGATTTTTTGTCGGCTCACATGGGTTTGTGACTCCGGCGTGGAGGTGACAAACAAATTTTGTTTTTTTTTCCCACCATCCTCTCTCCCCGCCCCTCCCTGGGTCACACCTGTTGCTGTCACACCGGCCGAAGGAACATTCTGTGCTTAACTCACAACTCCTCCTGGCCGACAACTCTTCTAGAAGGTTCTTGCTAGAACGAAAAACAGGCAAAGGGATTTCCTAAGCAGCCGGATCCCTAGAGAGATTAGGGGGAAAAACTTTGCATTTCCTGAAGAAAAGTTCCTTTCCGTTAAGAAATCTGAAGCTTTCCTTTTCACTAAAATCCTAAAATCGAGATTAATATCAAGGCTCTTCAGGGAGCGAGAGCCAGTTCGGTGTCGGGTTTAAGGCGTCAGGCTAGAAATCGGGAGACGGCGAGTTCTAGTCCTGCCTTAGCCATTAATAACGATGAATGAATTATGACCGATTCTTTTTCTTTGTCCAACAGAGATGATTCGGTTGAAGTTGACGTCTATAACCCTGCCAAGAATCAATGGGATAAAATCCCTCCGATGCTCCAGGTAGGTAGTGGGGAGGGGGTGGTGGTCTTGCAAATTTAAGAGGAGTGGGCTTCAGAAATATCTTTTAACGCCATCCAACAGCAACCTCTGCCTATCTCGGGTCCTTGGGAAGGATTGGATGGGTGGGTAAAAATGCCAAACCCACCCTCAACATCTGGCTGATTGTGCCACCATCGGCAATGCTGTTGGCATTGACAGAATTCCCATCGGTCAATTGCAGAAGGGCAGCTTGGCTCGGAACATTTAAATCCTGCGCCAACATCCCTTAACAGCCTTGCACAACAACATCTGCCTGTCCCAAGGACTTGATAGGTGATCAGAGTCGCCAACTCCAGCCTAAACATCTGGCTGATTGTGCAGCCGGCCATCCTAAATACCAGCGGCATTGACAAAATCCCCATCGGTCAATTGCAAAAGGCAGCTTGGCTTGCAATGGCTTAAATCCCGTGACCGATTCTGTGTCGATCACATCTGCCTCTCCCAGGTCCTTGGGACGGGCTCGACGGCTGCATAAAAATGCCAAATCCAGTCTGGACATCTGGCTGACCGCCATAAATAATAATTTTGGTACATTTTCTTTCTTCCCCCCCCCCCCCCTCCATTCTAGGTGCACGTAGGAGGAAGTTTGGCCGTTCTGGGAGGTAAACTTTACATCTCCGGCGGTTACGACAATACCTTCGAACTTTCCGCCACGGTGGAATTGTACGATCCCGAGACCCGGAAGTGGAGCGTGGCCGGCCAGTTGCCGGAGCCCATTTTTTGGCACAACAGCGTCAGTATTTTCCGCCAGTTCATGCCGACGGCGCTGGAGGAAGAAGATGAGAAGCGGGGGTTGGAAGACCCCTTCGCCCCCAACCCTCCGCGAGAAAACTTGCAGGAGCTGCGTTAAGGGGTTGCCTGGTGGCCGGCTGCGGTGGCTTGTGGGTGGTCCCGTGGGGTACCCCTCTGTGGGACCCCATTGTTCAAGTCTTTGGTCAACCGAGGAGCAGGGTGGAGTTGCAGGCCAGTTCCTGAACGATTAATTGGGGGGTGGACAGAAGTTTGGGGTTCAGCCGCAGGGGTAGATGGGGGGGGAAACCTTTGAAGGGAAGGTCTTCCAGGTGAGGAGGGGGGTCAGAAATGCGGCCTGGGGTGGAAAGCCAAGCCAGAACATGTCCATTCCCCTTTCTTGAGCTTGGGACAGAATTCAGGATTCATAGGTCAAGTACTGGTCAAAAACGCTCTAAAAATGATCCTTCCTCCCCCTGGGGTTGGGATAGATGACCTCACGGGGACCCATCCCAGGTTCTGGTTCTGCCCTCTCCCCATCCCCTCCTGTTTCTCGCAATCTGGATGGTCCGAAAGAGGAAGGGCTCTGGATGGGGAGACTGGTTAGCCGAGGGAGGTTTTCATCCGGGGTTGGGATGGATGACCTCAAAGGACCCCCGTCTCAGATTCTCCTAGTCAAGTTGACCGGAGTTTCTGTCCTTTGACAGTCCGTACCATCCATTCCTTGGTATTTGCTGGAGGGGGGAAGTGGGGGGGGGGAATGGATCGTGTTGCCTGTCCCGCACTGAGCAAGGGGTTAGACTGGATGTCCTCTACGCCCCCCCCTCCCCCTTTACATTTCTGTCATTTTGCATCTGGAGAGAGAGGAGGCTGTAACTTTTCATTCCCCCCCCTGGAAGAAATTGCACATCGAGCCAGTTGTGCCTTCGAGGCGAAAGGAAAGCCTTGTGTTAAAAGCCTGGGTAATAAACCACGAATGATGGCTGGCTGAAATTGAGCTGTTGTGCAGGATGTGTGAACGGGAACCCCGCTGAACCCCACTTTGGGTGTGCCTTAAGATTGTGAGGAGGGGCCTTGAGTTTTGCCATTTTATGTGGCGTCACAATGATGCAATGATCGATTGCAATTTTGCATTTGGGGAGTGGGTTTTTGCAAAATCAAAAACGTGAAGGTGGGTTGTGCATCCCCTGCGGTGCAGGGGACAATCCTGGTTAGTTGGACAATCCTGGTTAGTTTCATTTGGGGTGCGTTTCCTACAGGCCTGGCTCTCTCCACTCAGCCAAACAACAGTTCCTTTCAATAAACTACAACTAAACCGACTTCCGCTTTAGCAAAATGGCAGCCAAGCCATCATGATGCCTTCTGAATGTTTGATCCACTCAAAAATTATTTATTTCGGCTTATTCCCCCGCATTCTTCAACTTTGGCAGGAAAAAGACACTTTAAATGTTATCAAATTAAGGGATTTTTAAAGTTGCTTTTTTTTTTTTGAGAAAAAAACCAAGGTTGAATTGGCGCCCTCCCTCTGCCATTCATTCATCAAGAGGACTAGTGTCTTGGGGAAAAAAATAATGAACCATTACTCCTTTTGGCAGTTTTTAAGGAGACTATATTCCCCGTGGCCTGTAATCTCTACGATGGAGAGAAATATATATTTTTATAGACTTTGCAATTTCTACGCGCTGGCCTAGAATGGACGCAGCGTGGCTTCAGAACGGACGCAAAACAGATCGAAGGCAGCAACGCAAGAAGAAAAAAATATATATTTTCTTCTCGCGTTGCTGCCTCATTCCCCGTTTTACCCTCTCCAACTCTGCAATTGCCAAACCCCCCATAGTCCTCGACTTACAACGGTTCACTTAGTGACCAAAGTTACGACGGCACTAAAAAAGCGACTTACGATTGATTACTTACGACTGCTGTAGCATCCCCCTCCCCCCTCCACGGTTTCAACGTGATCAAAATTCAGATGCTTGGCCGACTCATGCTTACGACGGCCGCAGTTTCCTGGGGTCACGTGATCCCCTTTTTACGACCTGACAAGCGAGGGCGGCGGGGAAGCCGGAATCGCTTCAGGGCCTCGTGACTAGCGTAACAGCAGTGATTCACTTAACAACCGCGGCAGGAACGGTCATTCAAGGGGGCAAAATTCACGAAACGTTTTGCTTAACAGAAATGTGGTTGTAAGTCGAGGACTGCACTGTATTTAAAGACGGGCTTGTTTTCCACGTGGTCGTGGCTGTTTGCGTGGTTTCTTCTTTTAATACCTTCCAATGTACGAGAATAATAATTATATATTTTGGCGGGCAGTTTTAAGAAGGGGGGGGAACTGGGCTTGCAACCTCTTGTTCCGAGTTGGACGGACACCCCCCACCCCCCCGGAGCGACTTTTTGTATTTATTGAATGTTTTAAATGTAGTTCTTGCACTTGGCCTGACGTACTGTAGTTCTCTTTCTCCTTCGAAGCAAAAAAATATTCTGGTTTTTTGGTAAAGCTGCTTTCGGAAAACTTGAAAAGTGCTAAATAAAAAGAGATGCGTTGACATTGCTGGAATCTGCTTGGGAAAGAAGAGAGAGAATGAGAAAGAGACAGAATGAGAGACAAGGAGACAAAGAGAGAGAGAAATGAGAGAGACAATGAGACACAGAATAAGAGACAATGAGGCAGAATGAGAAAGAGAATGAGAAAGAGACAATGAGAGAGATAAGAGACAGTGAGAGACAGAAAAAGAAAGAATGAGAGAGAATGAATGAATGAGACAAAGAGACAGAATGAGAGACAATGAGACAAAGAGAGAATGAGGAAGAGACAATGAGAGACAAAGAATGAGAAATAAAGAGAGACATTGCTGGAATCTGCTTGGGAAAGAAGAGAGAGAAAGAGACAGAATGAGAAAGAGAGAGAATGAGAGACAATGAGACACAGAATAAGAGAATGAGAGGCAGAATGAGAAAGAATGAGACAATGAGAGACAGAGAGTGAGAGACAGAAAAAGACAGAATGAGAGTGAATGACTGAATGAGACAGAATGAGAGAGAATGAGGAAGAGAGAGAATGAGAGACAATGAGACACAGAATAAGAGAATGAGAGGCAGAATGAGAAAGAATGAGACAATGAGAGACAGAGAGTGAGAGACAGAAAAAGACAGAATGAGAGTGAATGACTGAATGAGACAGAATGAGAGAGAATGAGGAAGAGAAAGAGAGACAAAGACACAGAATAAGAAAGAGACGAGAGGCAGAATGAGAAATAAAAAGATGCGTTGACATTGCTGGAATCTGCTTGGGAAAGAAGAGAGAGAAAGAGACAGAATGAGAAAGAGAGCGAATGAGAGACAATGAGACACAGAATAAGAGAATGAGAGGCAGAATGAGAAAGAATGNGAAGTAGCCTGCAGTGCTGCATTTAACCACTGCGCCACCTTATGATTTTCTTTTTCCTCCGTCTCTTCCTTGGATGGTAATATTTATAGCAGGGCTGTCCCAAGGAAGCTTTGCCAGCTGGGGGATTCTGGGAGTTGAAGTCCACAGGTCTTAAAGTCGCCAAGGTTGGACACCCTTAAATTTATAGCGTTATCTTCAAGTCTGCTTCACCCCTAGGAATTTAACCCACTTGGCATTTTTAATTGCATTTCATTTAGCGAGTGGCGTTTTGCTAAATTCTTCCAGTTCCAAATCAGTATTTTACCACCGTCAGAATCGCTCCACATTTTCTCTGCCTCTTTTAACTTTCCCCATTTCTTGCTTTTCTGCCTCATCCAGTCTTGTGACCCGAGTGGGCAGCAATTGCAGGCTGAAGTCTGGCGTTGCCCGGGGAGTGATGGGTCTTCTGCTCGTTCCTTGCCCTGAAAGTTTAACTCTTCCAAATTCCAGGGAACGTTAAAATGGAGTCGCTTCAGCCACCCTTACGATGCTCCTCCGTGTTCGCTTAACTGCCTACTGTCCTGGGGATATAGAATAGCAGAGTAGGAAGGGGCCCTGGAGATCTTCTAGTCCAACCTCCTGCTCAAGCAGAAGATACTACATCATACTTTCAAACAAATGCCTGTCCAGTTTCTTCTAAAAAAATCTCCAGTGATCAAGTACCCACAACTTCTGGTGGCAAGCTGTTCCACTGGTTAATCGTTCTAACTGTTGGGAAATTTCTCCTTAGTTTTAGGTGGCTTCTCCCCTTGATTAGTTTCTCTTCGTGTATTTTCACTTCCCTCTTTATATTCTTTATATTCCAGGAAAGAAAGAAAAAAAAAATTAACAAGAAAATATTATAGGGCGTTGAAAAGAGAAAAAGAACGAAATTCTTAAAAAAAAAAGAGAAAAATAAAATCAGTCTGGTTTAAAAAATAAGCATTTGTAGAAATTCCAGCAGCAAAAGGATTAAAGAAAAATAACACACTAAGTTTGACTCAGCCTCCCCCCCTCCCCCAAAGTCCTTCTTTTTCACTAGACCTGCCCGATTCCTTCCTATGTTTTAACCTCCGGCCTGGCTCCCCTTCCCCATCCTTGACTCCTCTGCTGAAGCAGGAGCTGGTTTCCTTATATAAAGGATCAGCTGTGCTTTTACACCAGGGCTGTGGAACTACGGCCCTTTTAGTGACTGGTGGACTTCAACTCCCAGGATTCCATTCTGGCTGAGGAATTCTGGGAGTGGAAGTCCACCAATCACAAATGGGCCCACCACCACCACCTCTGCTTTACACCAGAGTCCATTCTTGAGCCGTCTGCCCCTGCGCAGAGCCTTTGGAGAGGAAGAGGCCGGCCAAAGGCTGCGTTTTCTGCACCCTCTTTCCTTCGTTCCGGCCCTCCATTCAGGCCACCCGGACAGAATAATGTTTGCTCTGGATCTCGTCATTTAGAGCCAAGGTGGCGCAGTGGTTAAATGCAGCACTGCAGGCTACTGCTAGATCAGCAGTTCAGCGGTTCAAATCTCACCGGCTCAGGGTTGACTCAGCCTTCCTTCCGAGGTGGGTAAAATGAGGACCCAGATTGTTGGGGGC